AATCCTTATTTGGCCTACAAAAGCTATAGCCCTGAAATCATAAATGCAAATGCCTTGTATTTTATGCTTTGCTCCTGCCATACACACTCCCTACTGCCACACAGAGCTGAAGAAACTGGCCCACGGTCCCCATCACCAGTAACGGGTTCAGGCACTCGGCACGACCAGCTGCTTCTCCAGCCACGTGCGACACAGCAGCCGGAGGAACGCGGGACTGCTTTTGTCAGGATTGGCCATAGTACAGAATTTGAGTGTGGATTCCAGAGGATTCCAAATATCTTGCATCCGTTTCAATGCAAAAAGATGCAGCGTTTGATTTCACCACATAACAGGAAAATTTGTATTCTGTGTGGCAGCATTCCTGAAGCCATAAGGCATAGATTGTGTGATACAGGGAACAGGCATGAGGGAAGACAGCCATTATGAAACCTACGGTCTAGTGATGTACTTTCAAAAAAAAAAAACAAAAACGATCCCTAAGATCGAAGGATCTTCCCATTATTCGCAGTCCACTCAGGGTCCAGCTGTTGAACATCTGACAGGCAGATGGACTATTCATTTCAACAAGGGAGGAATCACTCTCCTCATCTTACAGAAAAGACTGAAATTCAAACGGGGTTTGAAGTATTACTGTCTTCTCCCTCCAGCACTGTCTAAATTGCCTTCTAAAATACCAACGAGCAGAGATACACATGAAGTCATTTTCTTAAGCAAGTTCCCAGCAAACTTCAGGCTCCTGGTAGTTTGTTAGACTTAATGATGAAAAGTACTTAAATATAAGTAAGAATTAAACAATAAGAATTGCTATGAGAATAATTTTAAAAGTCAGAAATTTCCCTTCCCCCCGAGAACAGCATGTTATGAAGAAACAACAGCTCAGAAGCAGGACTCTACTGCCCATCTGCGACATCTGAAACTCACCTGGGTTTCATTTCCAAAGGCAGGCCACAGCTCAAAGCCTGTCCCCAAAACAACACACTAAACCAGAACTGGCCTGAATTAAAGATCAGACCCACAACGCACCGGGTTCCCAAAAGTCAACTACTATCTGAATTCTAGAGCGTTCATGTTTGGTAGCTAAAGCAGAGGAAAACTTCTTTCAATTCTATTCTATTCCAAAATGTCACATACCAAAAAAAAGTGAGAACAAAATCCTGGTTTTGTTTTTCTGTTACACAAACATGGTATTCTTTACTTAGACGAACAGACACATGTATATTATAAACTCGATTCACTCTGAATTACTGGCTTTCCAGCCAAATATATACAGAGCTTGCTATGTTCGAAGATGTCACATTGCTACTGTTCAGCAGTTGATATTCTCCAGCAGCCTGAGTGTGGGGAAGCTTGCAGGATCGCAGTCCCGCTTTGAGCGATACGCAGCTCTGGTGACGGGGAAGCACGGCTGTGCACGTGCCCGCGGCCGTCCCCCTCTTGCAGGCTGTGCTGGTTCAGGGCAGCCATGCTAACCATGACAGGGAGGCTGTGGAGTCTCCTTCTCTGGAGATATTCAAGACCCGCCTGGAGTGTATGTGACCCTGCTTCGGCAGGGGGGTTGGACTAGATGACCCACAGAGGTCCCTTCCAACCCCTACTATTCTGTGATTCTGTGATTCTGTGACAGTCAGCCTTTCCCAGGGCACCTTCCCGGACTATTCCGGAATTCGTTTCTAAATTCCAAACCAAACTGGGACATCTCAAAGAAATTACATTCCACAAAACATCACAAGAACCAAAACAAGGACAGCTCCATTGCTCCACACATAGATACTCTTCTTCACACCCAAGGTTGTGCCAGGGCACCCACCTGCCCGAGCTGCTCTGGCTCAGGCACTTCTGCGCTGCTCCGCATTGCAGGGCACAGGTCACTCTCAGCCTCTTCGCACAAGATAGGGCCTCCAAGTCCCTGACTGTCACAGAAACCTTCCTTTCTTTTGTTGGCTTAGTCTTTTTGGAACATGGGTGACCAGAATTACCTACTGTGTTTTGGGTGACTTTTCACCACTATTTCAACATACGGCATTAATATTTCTCTATCCCTTAATGATCTCATCTGACTAATGTAAGTTTTTTCAATGCTACAGTGTGTTTTTACAAATTTTACTTAATCTGTGGAAAGGCAGACTGCAATCATATCTGGCTTTGTCTAAAACAAAAGAACTCTACTTTACGGGCTAGCTTTAGCTCCCCTGTACGTTGCTGGGGCTTGCATGTGTCAGCAGCTGAAGCTCGGGCTAACCTGTGCACAGAATCACAGAATCACAGAATCACAGAATCAATCACAGAATCCCAGCATGGCAGGGGTTAGCAGGGCCCTCTGTGGGTCACCCAGCCCAACCCCCTGCCCAAGCAGGGTCACCCAGAGCAGGCTGCACAGCACCGCGTCCAGGCGGGGCTGGAATATCTCCAGAGAAGGAGACTCCACAGCCTCCCTGGGCAGCCTGGGCCAGGGC